CCCCCCCCCCCCCCCCCCCCCCTTCGGGAAGAAAGCCCCTACACCTACCAAGTATATTGGCGGCACACCCCCACCAAGAATTCCCTAGAGTACCCCCCGGGGTGTGAAGAAAGGCTTCATTAACAGAGAAGCGCTCCGGCTTCTAAGGACGTATTCCTCTCAAACCACTTTTGAGAAAAATATCCAAAAGTTTCGAAAATCGCCTGAAGAAAGAGGCTACCCTGCCGCTATTGTGACAAAGTACCTCTCAGAGGTAAAATTCGCCTACAGGAAAACAGCTCCTTAACAGTGAAACGACTCCGCCCGTAAGTAAAAAACTACCTTTCGTTACAAAAAGGCAATAATACCACCCAGCGTAACCTAGCCTAACGAAAATACTAATGGGGAAATTGCACCTTATACAAAACAACAATGGCTAATAGAAATCTTTAAGGAGCTTTTCGTCATACCATATCGCAAGGAAAATACACTGAGGAACTATTTGTTAGAGAGAAGCTCTGAAGGTCAGATTACGACCACGTGCATGAGTCGTGTGTTGCCCGTCGCCAATTTTTAAAAACCTGAGATGTGTCAAGCTTGATTCCATGCTTTCTCGGTTAAGTCAGACCAAGGGAGTCAAAGGAGACCCAAGAGGATCGCAGCGAACGTCAGTTTTTCCATCCCCCCATCCCTTGTCATCATGCAAGTTAAAAAAAGGCCTAAAATTACCTCCTCATCGATATCTCCCTACTCCCACAACATTTCATTTTCTCCCTCCTCCCTACATTTTCGCCCCGATTTCTCCCTCCTCCCTACTTTTTCAGGCCATTTCTCCCTCCTCCCTATTGTGTACCTCCCCCCTCTTTACAAGACCCTAAAGCTTTTTGCTGACTTGCAAAGACCCATCTGTTATGAAGATCCCCAAAACAAAGGGATAAATCTCATAGTTTATTAGATATAATCGTGTAAAGTTCGCTTATCATTTTCACATAAATTATGACCTACATTTAAAACTGAAACCGCTGAATTTCTCGCATTGGGTCTTTGCGATTTTGGTGAAACTCTGTTCAACGCAAGGCACTAATGCACACTATATGTAGCCGATAGGTTTTCACGAAAAAAATGCCGGCAACAGTAGAATTTCGACTCAGTCCCCAAAGAGGCGTGGCACTATAACCACGTGACATTTACTCCGATCGCCGAGAACTTTATGCTGTATTGTAAATTGATCTATATGTTATCCCAGCTATATGTTAGACTTAAGATCAAAGTAAAGGTGGGGATACTAGGGAGCTTCAAAGTAGGATGGTACTCCACAAAATAACTGGGTCGAGTAACCTTAACTGATGGCAACAAGGAGATTTCGGGAAAAAAGAAATTGGCGGAACAGCCGAGTCATAACGTTTTCCTTTGAAGTTGCCCTTGAAATGACGGAAGAAACTATCAACTCTCACTCTTTCTCGGATTGTCTGTAGCAAATAAACTTGAGGACAAGTGCAACCAGTTGAAAAAATGAGATCCTCCCAGAAATCAACATGATTATGTAAACTGCCCGCTTGGAAATAATCTGGGTGTCTAAACGCAATTGGGCCAGGTCAGCGAGGGATGAATCTTTTACTCACAAGCGCCGCCTATACAGTGGGGCCAACAAAGGATAAGGGTTCCTTTCTTTTTGTCACACCATTTGACGTCAGGGCTCGGGAACGCAAAGACTGCCAGCAGTGCAACCGCGAAATCCTGGCAAAACAGAGAACAAAACTATAAAAATAAGAAAATAAAGAAAAAGAAGGTGGGATCCGCTTATCCTTCGTTGACCCCAGCTCTGACCAATGACCAGAATAAAGGCGCTGAAAAGGCCCCCCAGGGTCAACGAAGAAATGAGGCAAATAACCTGAAAAAGATTGAGACGCTAATAACTGGGGAAATCTTTATTCTAACCATTAAATAAGGATAATTAAGAAAAAATACTAATCGTAGAAACAAATACCGCCCTTTACAAAGCTCATAGAGAAATGCACGTCTAACGACACCGTCCTCATGAGAAACGAGCGAGAGTGTAAAATAATGTTACATAAATTCCAGAGGTACAAAAAACGGACAAAGAAAAAACGCGTCCCATGGCCTTACAACACTTACATCATTTGCTAACGCCTAGAGTTTCCGCGGCTGCATTCGCGGCCACAAGCCCTGGTGAAATTCCCTGTTAGGCCACATCTATAGCAATTAACCGGAATGTAAACATAAAGGCGTTGGCGCCTAAACTAGCGCGTACTGTTACGACCTTGAAGGCCTTGAATGGCTGCGTAATAGTCCGCCTTTTCGTGGGTAGATGACCTGGCTGCTCGACCCAGGGCCTCGACGTAAGCAGAAGCCTCCTTCGGTCATTTACAGTTTCCGGCTTCTGAAGAGCGTTGCGAACAGAAGTAAGAGCAGCGGTGACAACGTCAACGCCTTGTTTCAACGCCTTGTGTCAACGCCCAGTGCTCGATTGGTTTACTGCGCACCTAAGTATTGTCATGTTACTCCTTTGCTAAGAGAACTCCACTGGCTACCAGTGCGCTTGCGCGTAGATTTTAAGATTCTCCTTGTTACATTTAAGATTCTTCACGGTGTTGCGCCTAGCTATCTTAAGGATCTTGTCTCTGTCTTACCGGACTCACGTTACCAACTACGCCGTAACAATAATGGTATATTGTTAGAAAGGCCTCGGCTAAGAACGAAGAAGACTTTGGGAGATCGCGCGTT